GCGCATTCGGCACTGGCAGGCCCATGTTCCCACGATGTAATATTTTGGGGTTGGAGGTAGGATTCGGGGGCCTAAGTCCGCAAGAGTAGTAGTAGTAGTAGTAGTAGTAGTAGTAGTAGTAGTAGTACCAGTACCAGTACCAGTACCAGTACCAGTTTCAGCTATTGACCGTTCGGGTTCAGAATTAGTGGCTCGGCTGCCAAGTTTACAACGTCGTTCTCGCGAACCTCGGCAAAGGTGTCAACCACCTGGGATTTCAGCGAGCTCTTCGAAGCATCTCTGGACTTCGGGCTCCGCCCAAATCAATGCTGCCACGCGAACAGCCTGCTGCCCCCCCCCCTCCAATATCCGACTCTGTCCAGCTCTAGGCCTAGGCAATTGACATTCTCGACTCGCAGCACCTTCAAAGAGCCAGCCACAAAAGCACAGGTTGATTCGCAGGTTCATGCTTCTTGCGAGCAACCAGATGGCATACTGCAACCGTCAGGCCCATGCCGACACTTTTGATGCATGCCAAGTGTCAACGGCAACCATGAGCTGCAGCACGCCAAAGACCTGGACGGATTGAAGACTGGCAGTTCCTTTCACTGACCCAGGCAATTTCGCCGGGAGTCCTGTTTCCAAGTGACTCTTACCGAGTCAAAGCCGAATGTTTGACATGAACGTGGACAAGTCTCGCTTTCCTTGCAGGCAAGCATCCAGAGTAAGGAGGGAACCCACAAAAATGATGGCTGTTGCTGGGTGGTCCTGTCATGCAATCAAACTAATTTCATTTAAGAAGTTGCAAAGTCAGGCGGAACACGTGCTGACATGCAGCACAGTCAGACGAATGAATGGGATTCCGGCCTGTATGACAGGCATTGCGATCAGACCCCAGCTGTCTCCCGCCACCACCGTCTTGAATAGCAACCTAGGCATGCCTATGGTTTTGCTGCTGCGAGATGCAACACTAAAGCTGTATTGATGTCCGATGGTGTTTGCCACCAAGCATCAGGTTGGCATTCATGACAGAAGATGCTGCTTGCAAGCACTCCCGGCCACAGTCACCAAAGACGTTCGTTCGCTCGTGCACATCATGGATGAGGGGATGGACGATCTCAACCATTAACATGGCCCACATCGTCATCACCACGAATCCAAACAGGAAGCTCCAAACCAAAGTTTTCAGGCATGTTGCCAACATGGTCACCTGCTCAAGGCCCTTTAAGCGCAGTCTCATGTGTAGTGGATAGGTGTGGGAAAGCAGCTTGAGCACAGCTGCTGGGCAACATCCCAGGCTGCTGCTGTCAGTGCACCGGCTGAACCGTTTCACACGGCTAGTTGAAGAACGAAAACGCTGCTAATCGAATAACACATGCATCCCTGTACAAACCCTTTCACAGAACCTGAACAAACAAGCCCACTCCGTCGTGCATACACATGAGTGCAGCTTCGCAACTTGTCAAGACCGGATGCACAACAACATAGATACGTCAAAGTCCCGAAAAATCCATGGATCCCTGAGCGCACCCTTCCAACTGCTTACACCTCGGTGGCGAAGTCTGTGATCTTCTTCGACGTCTTGCTTATCCGATGTTTACATGTCTCACAGCAAAATGATTTTGTGAGGACCGACAGAATCGAAACACCATGACAGCAGCAGAAAATCGCAGGGAGTGTGGGTGTTGGGGATCAGAAACCGATGATTTCGCCCGAATGGCCACACCTTTGGAAAAGATGAACTGGAAAGCACCAACATAATCAAGTCCTATCAGAAGAGCATGAGTCTCTTTCTTGCTTGTGTATCACCGGTGATCTCTTAATCGTCTTAATCTTATAATCTTATAATCTTGTGACAAATCCGATCCCTTTCGATGGAACACCGGCGTTCGTGTCCATCGATTCCTCGCCGTATCCTAGACTGTCTCGACGAATGCTGGGGCACCAATCGTCAGGAACGAAGCCAGGTCTTGTCGCCGTTGATCGCCAGGAGGTCGTACGGAGGAATACAGCAAACTGCAGAATGTACGGCCGATGGACTTCTACGCACACCACCCTGGATTTACAGGGCCGGGGCGGGAAGATCCATTGGGTTGCGAAGATGCATCGGCCTTGGCGGAACAATGTCCTCTGTGCACCACCATGGGCACCACCAAAATCACGCGAAGCTTTAGCCCAAAATGCCACGCATTCGACCGAAATGAAGTGGATAGAAAGGACATGATCAGATCCGATCAGTCGAAGTCCGAAGAGCACGAATCGGTTGCGTTGTCACTTCGAACATAAGTGCTCTACAATTCTACACAAACTCACAAGAACATGTTATACAATAAGTTAGATAAGATGGATTGGTGCAACGTGCCCATAACCGATGTACAGTGATAAGTAAGGCAATAATAAGGGCACAATGCTTGGGGAAATGGTAACCTATAACCGTGTTGCAATGGCTACAGCCTGACAGTGGCTCGAGACTTACTTTGGACCCGTCTGGCCAGCTTCTGCAGCTCCTTCAACGAGCGCGTCTTCCTCAAGAACTGCATGAGGCGAATAATTCTTGCCAGACGAAGCGGGCGCAGCATGTTGATGTTGATCCTGACAGGCAAACGAAGGATTCAATCTCAGTGGTCGCTGTCTGAGTTGTCAGGCAACCAGCAGGGCGTTCACAAAATTGCCCGAGTGGTGCAACTACATGGCAAAGAACTGTCGCGCATCAGCACATGCGTTTCAAATGATGCCAAACTCCTAGGACTGGCCCGATTAAGGCAGCTTTGGCTTTGGAGGCGGTGCCAAGCATTGTGCCGCTCAAAATTTCCTGAGTTTGGTCACCTCACATCAAGGTGCCTTCTGCACGGCGCCAAACATCCCTCTACAGACTGGGATGCTGTGGCAATCTGTGGCCTTTAGTCCCGGCGGTACGTGAAAATCTGGTGTCCTTGGGCCCCTTGGGCCCGTGAGAGGAGTGTTCGCTTTCGCTGGTGATGTCCGAGCCAACACATCCGGGCCTTGGAGACCAACGATTGCTGGGCTTATGTTCTGTTGGGATTTCAAACGGTGATCATCTGGGCCTCTCGCCGCTCCAGCAGGACAAGAGTCCTTCCTGCATGCCTGGATGCGATACAGAAACATTTCCGAAGCCGGAACCGTGTCCTGGACGTCAACGCATCCCCTGCGCTGGTCAACACCCACTCAGCGTATCCACACGTAATAATGACCTGACGGACACTCCAATCTATCAGTGCAGTGCAAGTGGAAAGGGGTATCGGTATTGGATTCGTCCGAGGATCGATGTCGAGTAAAACCATCCAATCTTTCAGAATGCGGCGCCCTCGAACGAAAAACAATAGGGGCAGCTCGGCTGTGTAGAGCAGGAGGCATATGTCAGAGCATGCGCGCACAAATACCGAAGGCTCTTGTCCGGCAGCCCTGGCATCAATATCATTTGCCGTGAGGTACGCATCGAAAAGAACCACGAGAGCCAGACTGTTTGTGTTGTAGTTGTTGTCGACACAGTACTTGGCCCAGCGCCGGGCCTTCGCACGCCAAGAGCTCCCAAGCTCTTGCTGTTCCTTCCCGGGGGAAGCCCTGATGAAATCGCCTCCCATGGCGCTCTGCTGTCGCCGTCGCAGTCTCCTGTTTGAGAATTCGTCGGAACCGGTTCGTGCAGTGGGAGAGTGACTCGGAGAGTGCGCAGCTAGATAGCTGGAGCTCTTGCTTTCGCACCCTTCAGCGATGGCTGGGAGCTCCTCCACGCACAGATGCTGCGAGTTGTGTTGAGGATGCCTTGAAAACTAATCAGAGTCAGAAGATGCTAGACGCAATATTAGTGCTGCTCTAGGACTCATAAACACATGGCACCTTTGTCGATATGTGGCCATACACACTTGATTAGGGGCATAGCTCCTGTTGTTCCTCAATCGGGGCTTTCTAAATCCGGCTTCCCCCACGCCGTCTGCGCAAACCCCTAAACCCATGGCCAGCAAAGCCGAACACCTTAAACCAAAAGCCACAGCCACGAGAGCACTGGCACAACCGTAGCAAATTAACAAGCACTCCAGAAAGAGTAGTGGAAAATGCCTAAGAAACAGACCTGAGTGAAAGGCCCTACGGCCCACACAGCTTGTAACGGATGCCAAAAGGCTGGGCAACAGGACCCGAAAGCGTAGCGGGAATGCTGATTCCCAGGGCCGATCGAGATCGAGTTCAAGGTCGGGAAGGGGAGAGGTGAGCGGCGAGGCGCATATAAAGTGCTAGCACTGTTAGACTGTCAGACTATATGGCACTGTTAGTGAGTTTTTTTCGGCTGACGGTATAGGAATTTGCTGTTGGCCTGAGGCGGCAAACGCTTGGAGTGTCTCGGGACGTGGCCCTGGTGGTCGTGGGGGGGGAGGTTCGATGGTGGCATCTTCTTGTACCATTTCGAGTATGTGCCTGTGCGTGTATCTCTGTTGATACCTATTGGATTTCTATTGTTGCTAATTTGCCTTAGCAAAGCGAATGAACCAATAATGGTCCAACGCAGAACAAGCCGTCCAACTTCGTAGTGCAGTATGTCTGCCACTGCGGCGGTGAGCTTTTGAGTGTAGCAGGCGACGGCGGCAGCCAACGCAAAATGGCAGCATGCATGCCTTTAAACAAACATTAAGCCATCTGGCACTGTGCATGTTTATTGGTTCTAGCTTGAAAACATGACAAAGCTCTCATGGCCCGACTTCCGCCAAATGTGGCTCCTCCCGCTGCGACTTTGCTTCAATCCGAAGCCGCTCCAGCTGCTCGGGCAAATCACCATCGAGGGAGTTCGAGCTCTGCATCGGGGGTTCTCGTGCCATGGGCCCCGTGGCATGGAGGCACAAAAGGAGCCCTCACGGCTGCAGCAAGACTCGTCACAACCTGCATCCTCACTCCGAACATGGCAGCATCGGAACCCCATGTACCGTGTGCTGCTTGAAGCTTGCCGGTGAAATACCCGCCCGGTTGCTCAACCACGTGTGGAGCTTGCTGGTGTGCATCCTCCTGAAGTTTGAGCTTCCGGGCGAAGATTGCAGAGAGGCTGGGGATATATGTATAGATAGATAGATAGAT